TCAAGAGATGTAAAAACAAGAACCACATGATTATATACTAGATGCAGAAAAGGCTTTTGATAAAATCCAGCATCCCTTCTTGATAAAAACCCTCAAACACCTAGGTATAGAAGGAATATAACTCAAAATAGTAAGTGCCATCTATGATAAACCTACAGCTAACATATTGCTAAATGGACAGAAACTGGAAATATTTTCCATGAAAACTGGAACAAGACAAGGCTGCCCACTCTCATCCCTCTTGTTCAACATTGTGTTGGAAGTCCTAGCTCGAGCAGTTAGACAACAGAAGGAAATCTGGGGTATCCAAACAGAGAGGAAAAGAGGAAGTCAAGTTATCCCTCTTTGCTGATGATATGATCTTATACCTTGAAAATCCAAGACAATCTGTCCAAAGCCTGCTTGCACTGATAAAGGACTTTGGCAAAGTCTCAGGGTTCAAAACAAATGTGCATAAGACAGTTGCATTCCTATACACCAACAACAAGCAGGCAGAGACCCAAATAAAAAACACAATCCCTTTCACAATAGCCATAAATAAATAAATAAATAAATAAGAAATAAAGAAATACCTTGGCATCTTTCTAATCAGAGAAGTGAAAGACCTTTACAATGAGAACTGCAAAACACTGCTCAAAGAAATCCAAGAAAACACAAACAAATTGAACGATATTCCATCCTCATGGATAGGAAGAATCAATTGTCAAAATGTTCATCCTACCAAAGGCAATCTATAGATTCAACACAATACCCATTAAATTACCAACATTATTCTTCTCAGACCTGGAAATGACAATACGGAAATTCATATAGAAACATAAACTACCACGAATAGCCAAAACAATCCTTAGTAAAAGAATCAAAGCAGGAAGTATTACACTTCCAGACTTCAAACTTTACTATAAGGCTACAGTAATCTAAACAGCCTGGTACTGATACATGAACAGGCACATAGAACAATGGAACAGGATAGAGATTCTGATAGCAAAGCCTCAATTTCTCAATCAACTCATCTTTGACAAAGCCTCCAACAACAACCACTGGGGAGAGGAGAACCTATTCAGTAAATGGTTCTGGGAAAACTGACTGACCACATGCAGAAGACTGAAACAGGACCCCTACCTATCACCATACACAAAAATTACTCGAAATGGGTCAAAGACCTAAATGTAAAACCTCAAACTATAAGAATCTAGGAAAACGCAAGGGAGACCTTTGTGGAAATTGGAACTGGCAACCAATTCCTATTCAGAACCCTAAATGCCCATACCTTAAGAAATATGATAGACAAGTGGGACCCTATCAAACTAATGAGCTTCTGCAAAGCAAAAGAAACCATCAAGAGAGCAGGGAGACAACACACAGAATGAAAAAAATTATTTGCCTACTGTATATCTGACAAAGGCCTACCATCTAGGATCCACAAGGAACTCAAATGCGCCGAAAGGAAAAAAACAAACAGCCATTAAGAAGTGGGTAAAAGACATGAATAGACACTTCTCAAAAAATGATATACAGGCAGCCAACAGACACACGAAAAAGTGCTCAGCCTCACTCATCATCAGAGAAATGCAAATCAAAACCACATCAAGATACCACCTAACCCCAATAAGAATGGCCAACATTAATAAAACAAAAAACAACAGATGCCAGTGAGGATGCAGAGAAAAAGGAAAGCTTCTACACTGCTGGTGGGAATGCAAGCTAGTGCAGCCTCTTTGGAAGACAGTGTGGTGGTATCTGAAATAACTAGATATTGACCTTCCATATGACCCAACAATTCTACTATTGGGAATATACCTGGAGGAACTCAAATCATTCTTCAAAAAAGATACCTGCACATGTATGTTTGTTGTAGCATTATTCACAATAGCAAAAACATGGAACCAACAATGTTGCCCACTGAAGCTGAACTGGATTAATAAATGTGTTACATATACACAATGGAGTAATATGCAGTCATAAAGAAGGACAAACATATGGACTTTGCAGCAACTTGGATGGATTTAGAGTCGATCATACTCAGTGATCTATCACAGAAACAAAGAACAGAATATCATATGTTCTCACTCATAAGCAGAGCTTGAACAATTATAATACTATAAGAAAGCGATTGGCAGTAGTGGAAAACTGTGGGGAGGGGGGACATTGGCAGTGAAGGATACTACTAGGGGAGGGAGGGTCATATCTCAACAACAAGGGTAACTGCATAATCAACGTTTGTATACCTAACCCTGAATTGTACCCCACATCTTTATAATAAGAAAAAAAAAATTTTTTAAATATGTTTTTAGCATTGTCCTGCATTCCTAGTAAATACTTATTAGGCCCTCAATAATATTTCAATTTTGGGGCCCTCAAAAAACATATTTTAATTTTGGTCAAATACAACCTAAGTTGCTTAAAATCCTCTTTAGCTCCTGAGGCATGACACCTCTCTCATGGATACTGCTTCAAACCAATTTGTTCCAAAGTCCCTTGCGCTGTTTAAAATGGAAGCACACCTAATATTCATTAGAAATTGGCAACCGCATTTGGGCTGTGTTCTTTAGCCACAAGGAAAAGGCAGAGTGACGGTAAGAGCATTGACTGATTGCTTGGCAAGGGAAACCAAGCCCTTAGGGTGTTCCAGACTCTCTTAGGCCTATAAACCTGTTTGAGAACCTGTTTCACAGAATTTAAAGCTTAGCTCAATTGAGGTCAGTATTATAGTAATGTCAATAATTCTACTGCTCTTGGCCTTCAAGCAGACCAGTACAATTCATCATTAACTTTATTTTCATGGAAAGGGAACTTTTGGGAAAAATAGCTCTAACTTAAGCAGTTTTATTTTGATTCTCTTTCCCTTAAGAAATAGTTCTGCCAATATTGCTCCTTTTGGATTTGGTGCTTTCTAAACCTTAACACCTTCCAGGGACTGAAATTATTGCCTAAAATCAGAATAGTTCTGAACATACAAAATTTGGTGCATCACTGGGGCAATAACTTGAAGTTTTCAGAAGAAGGACCAAAAGAGCCATTAGGTCTGAAAGTAATTTTTGGTAACTGGAACTTCATGAGCTTTCAAAATTACCTCTACCTTAGCTGCTTTTGGAGGGTATGATACTAAACTATACTGTCTAGTGGAATATTCTGGCAGAGTTTATTTCTTTCTTTTAGGAATCAAGAACTGAATGAATAAAACGAATATTTATTTCCCTCTTAAGAGAGAGCTTCATTTCTAGTGAACAGTACGGAGCACATGCCCAAAGTAGATTACCCACATCCTCTTCAGGTAAGGACTTCCCATCCCAGGGCTGGCATTGGGGTGATGATCAAAGGTGCTAATTGTTTAATTACCTTGATAGTTCTCTTTTATTTCTAGAAACCAAAGAAGAAGAAAATGGCTCAAAATAGTCATTTCTTGGATCAGATATTACAACTTGTTTATGGTAGGTAAGGCGTTTATCCACAACTAGGAAAACATCATTATTTTTCCCATGGAAAAGTAACTTGTGTGTTGAAAAGACTTTGCTCCTAATATGTGAATATGTGAATTTATTAATCTGGACATGACCTTGAACTTTAATGTTTCTTTGAATTAATATGCTGATATTAAACTTAACTGAAAATAGTAAGAAATAACTAACTGAAGCTACTCGCTTATTACACATCATTTTTAAGAGTTATCTTATCACATTGAGATCCCTGTGGGCAGAGTCTAAGTCTTATTTATTTTCGTATTTTTTGTACCCAGAACTATGCGTGCCATAGCACAAGCACTAAATAAATGCCTGCGATTCGGTGACTTGAATATAGTTATTTCCATGGCATGCAGAACGGTTGAAAACTAGTAATTTACTGACCAGTAGAGGGCAATAAAGTTGAAATTTTATTCATCTATTTAAAAAAAAAATTCATTGAGCTTAGTGTAAACTCACTTTCAAACTCAATTCTAGCCTGGAAATGCTTTCTCTAGAGTAGTCTCATTTAATGTCCTGGTTTCACTTTACTGCAGCTACACACCTCTTGTGCCACATCAGAACCCCATTTCCCCTGCCCCCAATGGAGTGTACAGGAGAGGTGTGCTAGAGATTGGTGTGTCTTGACACCACAGTTCTCTTTGGTTCATTACTAGTCTAATCAAGATCATTTGACGGTGGATAATTCTTAAAAATGAAAGATCATAATAAAAACACTGGGTAAGATGTGGAGTAGGATAGCAATTTTGGCTTTAAACTTCATAAGGAAGGAAATCACATATATAGTAAGACACAATTTCATTCAAAAGAATCAGCCCAAACCTATGTCCACATTTATGCATATAAATAAAATCAGAAGAAAATGGTTTTTAAGAAGAAAGTTATCAATAGATGGTGGAATAGCAAGGGATTTTTTTAATCTTACACATTATCACATTTTTCAGATGTTTATAGTTAATAGATATTTCTTATAGGAAAAAAAGAATATTTTTTAGCATCCCCCACTAGTTTTATAAGGATGCGGAAGACAGGAATGACTAATTGTCCTAAAACTAACGTTAGCAAGACCTGACTAGTCTTTGCCAATCTCCCCACAATAAGTTTGGGGAAAGAAGAAGACTATTCAGAAAGTCACAGGGTAGTCCACTGACTTTATTAACCCATGTGTTCCAGTGGACACGGGGCCACGTGTTGTCTCACATGTTCCTTAAACTATGTGGATATCTGGGAGCAAGCAAGCTACAGTAGTTTTAAGAAGGGGTTTTTCTTCCACAGTTCATCTTTTGATATTGCATTTTTCAATCTCTACAGAGTCCTAAATCTTCTCCCGTGTTATTTTTAGTCATCCTTGCAGGGGGAGAAAAAAGTCAATCAGGGCCTCTGGCATGTCAGCTTTTTATAAAGAGAATGCAAAGCAGAGCTCCCAGCAAGCCTCATAAAACATAGGATTTATGTGAGACTTTTCATCTAAATCCATTTAAAATGTTCCCTGCTAGGCAACTGAGAGTAGATGGGATTCATCATTTGAAAAGGCCTCACTTTAACGACAGGATACAGTGACTCAAATGTTGCTTCAGCTCTTCTTCTTTTTCATAGGACTCCAGTACACTACGCGCTTCATCATGGTGATAGCAGTAGATTTTATAAATATCTTCCAATGGGCCTTTAATTTGCAAGAATACTTCTCCTGATAAAGGTAAAACAAAGATAAAAATGACACCATTAGAGCAAGATGGCACTTCACATAGTTATTTTCAACAATGTCGACAAATGTCAAAAAGTTGGATGGGTCCTGCTTTATCCACAGGTGATTTGAAAGTTGAAAACATTGAGTGATTTTTTTTCTTTTCTTATTCCTTTCCTTTTTCTTCCCTCCCTCTCTCCCTTTCTTCTTTGTGCTCTCCTTTTTTCCCCCTCTTCTTTCCTTTCTTCCTTTTAAAAAAATAAAACAAAGGATGAAGAGTGTAACAGAGCTGGGCAGCAAAAGACAACTGGCTTTTTCAAAGGTGACTAGCACAAGATTGGTATGCAGGATCATGGTTAAGAACTACAGTTTAGAGTTGGTCTGCACGCACTTGAGTCAGGCTGTGTTAGACTGGCTTTGTGACTTTTGCAAGTTATTTAAAATCTCTGAACCTGTTTCCCCATTTATCAAATGCTGACAACAATAGATTCAATTTCATAGGGTCATTATAAAAGTTAAAAGAGGTGGTATGTGTAAAGTTCAGAGTATAATATATGTATATAGGAAATGTTCAAAATGGAGTAGCTTTTGTTAATTTACTAAAGGTACAGGAAGTAAAATTTCAGGTGCTAGGTAAGTTGTTTTTCAAGATTTATTCCACTAATATTTCCAGAGTCTCTCTGAAAGGCAAGAAATGTAGTTTAGAGAAATAAAATATTTTCTCATATGTGATAATAAAAAGAATAAGCTATTATTCCTTTTAAAAATCAATTGGATAATACTGTGAACTAAGGCTATGACTGCATCTTCATAAAGCTGGGCTAATTGTGTCCACACATTTAATGAATTCTTTTTGTTGTTGTGATAAAATTGAGTCCATAAGTGGTAGCTCAAGTAGATGTTGGACAATACTTTGATTTAATCACCCATTCTACTACTTAAAAATGAATGGTAAGCATCCTATACCCAACTCAGAACTATATAAATCATTTGGGAGATACAGAAAAAATATGTGAGAGTCAGCTCTTAGAATTTTTCAATCTCAGTTGAAAATGGGAAATTGATTATGATTTGGAGGCTGAATTAATTGGGATGGTTGCATTGATTGACAGTGATGCGGACCTATTAATGTGGACCTATTTTAGTAATCAGAGTTACTTTTCTTCCTATAGGAATAGAAGTGTCCTTAGTAATTTCAACATGTTTTGCACACATTAACTGCTTAACTCTCTACATACATAAAGATATAAGAGGCTGTTTGTTCATATTAATTGAGGATGAATAAATCTGAGTTTGAAACAAATACATGATTTGTCAGAAGGTGAGAAAGCCAGGATTAGAGGTCATATTCTCAGTTTTTTCCTTGGATTTCAGTCCTCCCCTGCTCCTCCCCACACATGTACATCAGAGTTTTTCTGGACACTGTATGAGTTGACACAATTGGAAAGAACATTAAACTCAGAATCAGAAAACATTTAGTTTGCGTGGTGACCTTGAGGATGGCTTTAAAAATATTTTTGAGCCTTAGTTCCCTTATTTTATTCGTAAAATAAAAGTGATAGTATCTATAGTAGCTATTGAGATTAATTTAAGCATTACGTGGGATGATGGATAAAATTGCCTTTTAATGACTATTTGCTCAATAGCTGTCATTTGTCTTTTAGGGTGGCTTTACTACCTTTAGAATTAAAACACTAGTACTTTTAAAGTATCCCATTCTTTTCTAATTTGTATCCCATTCTTTTCTAATTTATATCCGGCTAATAAAAGACTTACTTATCTCTTCTATTATTTGGAATTTTCCTGTGAATATAGACTGTGAGGTAATGTATATGAGTGTATGTGTTTTAAGATGTTTGTTTATTTTAATAGTGCTTTTTTGAACCTGTAAGGAAACTCAATCACTGTGAATAACTTTGGAGCTGAAGGGGTGAGGGATTCTTGTTTTGTTTCTGAGGTTTTGCAGAACTCATTTTTCTACTAGCGTAGGTCTTGTAGATTTTCTCTTAAAGACAGCAACACAAATAGTAAGAGCTTTTGAGTAGTTAAGAAGAAGAGAAAATCAATTAGGACGTAATTGAATTTAAAATTGGTAATAAGGTAAAGGGAGACTCCCAGTATCAGAGCCAGGTAGCAAATGGGAGTGGGAGCTTTGACTAGAGGGGGGAATTAAAGCCCAGAAGTGGGTGTGGTGAAGGGTTAGATGGAGGCTCAGCAGAAAGTCAAGAACAGTGGATCTGAATACACGCAGTCCAACACAAGATGAAGTTGTAAACATGTATGTTCACTGCAAAGAAGTAAAAAGTAGAGACCAAACAAAGAAAGAAGTAGACAACTTCACCAATCTAATAATCAAATCAGAAAGTAAAAAAACAAAGGACTACAACACTTATTTCACACACTGAAACCACTAATTGCAAATTCTCATTTTCGTTAGCAGAAGTGGTCTAATTTGAAAGAATTTATAACTCCCCTTAACAGCAGAATCTTTTTTTTTTTTTACTGTTATCCAAGTAAAATTCTGTTGAGGCTCTAATAATAATTATTAAAGTTAAAAGATATTTAAGGACTCTAATCGAAAGCCATTTATTCACTCAAAGGCCAAATATAACACAGACAGGCAGAATATTTGATTCCCTTCTCAGCCCTACCAATATATTCTGCTTCATAATAGTGCAGATGAAGTGATGTGTCTTCCAGCAAAAAGTGATTCGGTTTCCATGGTAACATAACTCTTAGCTGCTTTTCTTTTCTGGTGAAGGACAACTGCTCTATCTAATGTATGAGGGTTGCAGGGGGTGATTAGGAGCAGAGAAGGGACTGAACCAAGACCAGTGAAGGTAATTTCTTCTGTGGCTACCTGTCATAAAGGCATTAGAATCCTATAAAATAAATAAAACTACGGTGTTCTTTTTAAAAATTCTGCAATTTTTAAATTTCTTCATTGGCTTCCCCAGAAAGCAATTGCCATGCAGAAGAGAAAAAAATGCACCGCTTTAAATTTCTGTAGTTATCCTCTTTAAAAACAATTCGCTAAAATATTGATTTTATGTCCTGGTATCATTACTCTTATGTTGCAAATTGCTCCCTTTACTGATGTAAATATACGCACACTCCTCTTCTTGATCCAACTCATCCTTATTTTCAGTACCTTATGTCCATCCCCAAGATAACATCATATTAAATCAGGTAGGCTCTGTGTTATTCTGACCTCACTCCAAGATGAATTTCCCCTGCAGGTATGTAAACCAGGGTAAAGTCAATGATATTCAAGGAATCTTCTTGTCTTAGGCTTTATTTAGGAAAGTGGAATAAAAGAGAATGAAGAACTTATATTCTTTAGTTCATCCTTATTTGAAAACAATTTACTGAGTATTATGCACCAACTACTTTGTTAGGTACTGCAGATACAAAGAACCAACACTTATCTCAAGGAACTTATATGGGCCAGCAAGGGAGAGAGAGAAAGATGAATTCCCATTTATCATAGTACGTGAAAAGTACAATAATAGAGCTATAAAGCACAGAGACACCTATTCTGCTCTTGGGGAGCTTTGAGCGATTCCCATAATAACCTGCTCTTGAAATAGGAACTCTGAGTGAGTACAAAAGTAAGGAGATTGATGCAGGGGCTGAGGTCTCCCAAGAAACGTGGTCTAGTATGGCTGGATGGGACTGTGTCTATGAGGAAGCTCCAGAAGGGATTGTAGAGGTATGCAGGGGACAGATCATGAAGGACCTCGTGCATCATTAACAAGTTGGAATTTCAGCCTGAAAGTGATGGAGAAACACTGATGGATTTTAGGTAGCAGATCAGGCTGTGTTTTAGAAAGACTACTTGGTAGTTATTCATATGAAAGATGGAATTTGGGGAAGGAGCTAGTGAGACTTGAGAAGAGAAACTAATTGAAAGTCTTCTATCATAATAAAAGAAATAGACAATGAGGGGTTAAAACAGGAAGCCATTGCAATTAAGACAGAGTAATCTAGAGTTGACTGCCTGAGCTCAAATCCCAGTTTTACCATTTACTCAATGTGTGACATTTGGGAAAGTGGCTTGACTTATCTGTTTCCAAATTTCCTCATCTCTAAAATGGGGTAATAATAATTGTAGAAATGTTTGAAAATTTAATAAATTAAAATATGTAATATGTTTTTATCAGTAGAACTTTCTTGTGCAAATGCTTGATAGATGTTAGCTATAATAACTAAAGAAAAAGCAAGAAGGGTGGGAAAAAAAGAATAAAAATGGACATTGAAACTGTGTGAGAGAGGAAAAGGATAATTCCATGCATATCCCAGAATTCTGGTTTTAGTGACCATGTGGTTAGACAATAATGACATATAAAGAGAAAGTTCAGGTGAGAAAGATGATGAGTTTAATTTTGTATGTACTGAGTTTGAGTTCCTTATTGTATATTTAAGTGGGATATATAAATCTGGGATTTAGGAAAACAATATTTTGGAGAGAGATGTAAGTTTGTAAAACTTGGATTGTAAAAGGCACCAATTTGATGTAGTCATGCAAGATAGTCCACAGAGAAGGAAAAAAAGAGCACACACGGACCAAATGCTGGTGAATGCTAACATTGAGGGGAGTCTAGAAGAAAATTTGTGTGCAGAGGAGTCTGAGCCACAGAGAAGGCAGGAAAACTAAAATCGGTGTCAGGAACTACAAATACAAAAAAGTGAGAAATACTACCAAGACTGAATAAGTTTGTGGGTGACAGAGTATGCTAATTGCCCCCTAGTAACCATTCTCTGCTTCTTCTAAAACTAGGAGTTTTGGCTGCCCCCAAATAAAAATGGCATTTCCCAGCCTCCCATGCAATTGGTGTGGCTGTGTAATTAAAGTCCACCAATGGGATAAAAGGGAAAATGCTCTGTGACAATACCTCAGAACTTTTGTTAAGAGGCAGTTAACTCAGCCTTTACATATACTTCATTCTTGCCTCTGTCTGCAGTGTAGAGCTTGGACACTAACTACTATGTCCATGAAGATA